TGTTTTGAAATATCATTTTGAATTTAGTTTGCTACCTTAAGAAACACCTCACCTTTCTTTTCTTCTTTTTCTTTTTAATACATGAGTCATACTTCAGGGATTATTCATTGGTTTTCTCTTACTCTAATATTTGAATTAATAGAACCTTTCTTTTTTGTAGAGAATATCTCTGGTCAGCAGTTTTGCAGCATCGTTGTTTATTGGGGACTACGCTCCTATTGATTACAGTGATGGTAAATGGTTTTCCTTTCTAATATAGCATTAGTATTTTTAAATTGGGTCAGGTAGGATTTATGAATGCTGGGGATAATATATGTTCAGGACAAATTTATAGAAGAATTGTTCAGACTGGGCTTTTAAGTGTATCTAAACCCAAGAACAAAAATATAATATATTGTAAATGACTAGTTCTTAGATGAGGTGGAGACATTAGTTTCCTTATTTAGGCTTTGCTTTCCTTTTTTTTAATCGGATGATCCAACCAATAACACACTTCCTGTCCTAGTGTGAGGGCAGCAACTGTGCTAGAAGTATAGAAAGCCTCCACCTCCCCTCATCTACATAACATAGGGGGAGGTGTTCTACAGTTCACAGCAATAACTGGGTATGGCTGGTAACTGATAGAACTGATCATTTCAGAATGGTAAGTTACAAGCTTTCTGCATTTCTGGCTGGATCCACAGGTATTTTTTGCAATTTTTGAACAGATATAACAAAACGGTTTTAAAAGTATATTTAACAGACTAAAATCTAACACCTAGGAGCAATTGTTATAGCCCTTAAGGAGGGTGGTCCGATAGAGTCTACCTGTCAGTTTTTCAGGTAATCTGATCTGAAGCCCAATGTTAGTCTATGGGCAGCCAGATCAAAATGGATGTCTGTCAGTTTACATCCGATTATCCTCAACCCAGACCAGTTCTGGAAAACCAGACAGAACAGAGTTCCATTTTGGTGGACCTGATCGTGACAGATCGGGGGCAATCCAATGTAAACAGACATATGTCTATTTACATCAGATTCCCTTTAGACCTAACATGGGCCCGGTAAGTTCAGTTTTTTTCCTCCACCGCAAGATCTGCTGTGACTTCTGTTCCGAACTGACCCCCCCATTCTAACTACTTTAAGGAAAATACTGTGTCACTATTCTGAGCATTGATCAGATATATGGCGAATAATGCCTTCCTGCATCTCCCTCTTCTGGAGATTTGGGTCACTGCATGCATGATTGCTGACAAAGATTTAAACACCTTACTTTTGGTGGATATGATGCGTTTCTTATACTTACCTTCTGAGCTCTTCAGATTAAGTGGACCGTTGATCCAAGAAACGTGTAGAAAATTAATTGTCTTTCCATCTATAATTTTTGTGTAGATGTTTGCATATTAAGTTGCAATCAATGTAATGTATTAATCAATTGAATATGCAATCTATAAAGAGCATCGGTTTTGTTCATGCACATATAAAATATGATGTGGAATAAGACTGAATAATTTTGTTAACAGTGACAATTTTGGTAGCGCGAAAGTTCTTTCCGTTTTCTTTTTCTTGTGCTTCTAAATATCTATGGAAAGTTGGTACATCCAAAGTGGGTACATTTTCCATGATGCATACTAGAGTAGTTTTTATCTGAAATGGATGCACACACAACAGAACACATTAACAGAGCAAAGAGAGTAAAAGTCTTATAGGCACCATGTCCCAGCAGAATTATAACTGAGTAAGAAATAAAGATCAATATGGATTTCAGCAGTGTCCTATACGACCAACAACTGAGGACAGTCAGATGGTTCACTGTTCACAGCTCTTAGCAAGACGTTCATGTATGACCATCCTATGGCCATGTACTTCTTTTGTAATTAAACGAGGATCTGTGACTGGCAGGATAGGTACATAAAAACATTTCTTTATGTTCCATTGTTGAAAAAGGATCTTTGTTCGTACTGTATGCAGAGCACGGCTTACTGTGTTATTGTACAGCCCAGTTTCTGTGGGTGTACAGTCTTCATTATCAACCTCTGTACTGTCCTTACCCAGGGATCCCAACCTGAAATAAGTAATTTCTGGGAGGTACCCATCTCATTTAGTTAGGTGCCCTCTGTCAACCTCGCCCCCTCCTTCCTGGGGGGTGGGGGGGGGTCAACAACAAGGAAGAGAGCACCCACCCAGGAAAAAAAACAACAAGAAAACAGCATTGGAACTAATAGCTAGATTACTATTGGCTATTTCAATGTGCAATAGCCAATAGCAGATTAGCTGTTGCACCTGCCCACTGCTGCTGTCAATCAACAGAGGTGGACCTGAAGTTCTCCATCAGGTCCACCTCTGCTGACTAACAGCAGCAGAGGGTGGGTGCAATAGCTCATCTGCTATTGGCTATTGCACATTGAAATAGCCAATAGTAATCTAGCTATTAGTTCCAATGCCGTTTATTTCTTTTTTTTTCTGGCTGACAGTGGCCGGCGGCCCCGATGTCAGAAAAAACCCCCAAACCAGACAGCACGGAAAGGTTTACTCTGCTAGATCGAGCAGAGCAAACCTTTCTGGGAGAAAATGTTTCTCCCCCGGGTGTCCGGGAGCGCTATCTAATAGCGGGAGACTCCCAGAACATCCGGGAGAGTTGAGATGTCTGCCTTGCCCTATGACTGCACTCCACATGGCCAGACCCTGTTTTTTTCTAACTCATCTAAAGCTTTCATATATGCAAAAGACCCATCTAGAAATTCCAAGTGTTCAGTTTAAAGTCACCATAAAAGCATACAATTCATTTGATTGCCATTTTAAGGGTCAGTAGAGCAAATTAACACATGTTTTAAAAGGGTCTTTTATCTTTATGTGGATCATGTATGATTTTAGATACAGGTTAACATTTGTATTGCTATTTAATAGGGTTAGATTACAAACTCTTTTATCTAAATAAACAATCTATTGTATATAAGTATGTAATGCCATTATTTATTTCTTACAGTATGTTTACTTAAGCAGGGATGTCTTGTGATGTCAATGAGACCCATGAGATTCCTCTACTTGGTTTTGGAGATTATAGAAACATTAAATTCTGTTTAGACATATTTATTCTCTAAATACATTTTCCTTTGACTGTTGCTGCAGGTTCTGGAATGAATTTATTAGACATTGGTAAAAAGACTTGGAATGAGAAGTGTCTTGAAGCTTGTGCACACCGCCTCAGAGAGAAGCTAGGCCCAGTTGTTCCATCAAGCACTGTACTGGTGGGTTTACACCTTCTTTCACAGGACCGGATTAACTGTCTGGGACCTTTGGGTGGCCAGATTTCATTGGGATGAGTAATTTTCTTATATGAAGTGTATTGAATTGATTGATTGCAGGGATCGCTGGCCATAAGAGCAGCACAGTAATGGTATTCTGGTGGCCTCAGAAAGGACGTCCGACCTTGTTCTTCTCAGCAAAAAATAAAGGAGATCTATATCTAGAACAAACAGTAAATCACCAATAAATGTGGTCAATATTAGAACAGACAAAGCTAGTATTTGTATCTATTAATATTATTATTGACGTAAAGTCGATGTGAACTCCTGGCGACTACATGGATCGTGTTTCTCCAGTATAATCTGTCTTCTGTTTTGGTCTTTGCAATGGCTCAATTTCTGTGGCTCTCTATCTACCTTATTGCTGGTTGTTGTCTTGTTTTCCCTTTCAAGATTTCCAAGCATAATTGTCTTTTGCAGTGAGGCAGTTTTAAAATCAGTTCTCACTGGCTGATAAGTTTGTTGTCACACAGTCCAGACGTGTCCCCTGTATAGTTCCAATCAGGGAGGGGGGCTATTCATGGAGTGGTCCTCACTAGTTTTGTGCAGACATGCTCTCTTTCCAGCTTGTGCAAGTCTTCCCCAGCAGATAGTGATAGCAAGACTGAGAGGGGGAGCAGCTGCAGCTGTCAGGAGCAGAAAGCCTCCAACACTCCTGGAAGTATCAAAGGTGGTAGAAATTAGCAGAGCTTTATTCATAAAAATGGTAGAAGAACTTGGCAGGAGAAAGGCTGCCTCAGTATAAGCTTAGGACCTTCAACAACAGTATGCTATGTATAATAGTAGAATGGTGACTGTGCACACAACTATTTTCTTCCCAAGGGCTTTAAATAGATAGCTATTGATGTACATATAAGCTAATATCTTCATCTGTTGACTTAATAATAAAAAAAACACAATATTCATTTACAACATTTTATATTCCTCTAAATAATAAAATATATATTTTTTAAATCGTATTTTATATTGCTGCCCATATTAAATTTAAACAAGTTTAAAGCCCACAATACATTCATTTTAAAGAAAGAAAGAAGCTCTAAGTGGAGTCAATTGCAGCTTTCAGCATGGTTAACTCATAACAATATTTAAAATAAAGCTCATGAACTTTTCCAGGTAAGCCTCACATACTCCATCCTGACATCCTCTGACCTTTATCTCTGATTTGATTGTCAGAGGCGCTGTGTCAGAGAAAAAGCACACCTTTTGAAAACCTCTGAGCCTGTGGTCCTTCAAGGATGGAAGGGAATTAACTGGTATTAGGAAAAAAACTGCAAAAAAAAAATTGCACACTGCAATTTTTTGAATTGCATACTGCATTCAATCCCTCCTCCCTGTCCCCAGCAGTACTGCTTCAATTTAAAACCGACCATACACTAGTAGATCTTTTTTTTATTCAGCGTGTGGGCTAAATGAAAAAAATCTAACAAATTCCTCCATCCATGCAAAATAGCATAGATGGACGAATCTCCCTATGTGACTATTGCATTATCACATCTGTCAAAATAGATGAACAACAATTGGCTGCAGTAACTGTTTGGCTGAAAATTTATATTGCAGCTCATTTAAGTCAATTGAGTAAGCACATTTTTTGTCGAATCTCTGATTCCTGGATCTGATTACTGTGAATTGGACGAAAAATTGTAACAGTGTGTGGCCAGCCTTAATTAGGGTGCCAAAGTAGTTCTTAAATGACTGACCCACAAACCCAGCAGGCAGAGGGCCCAACCAAGCCCCTGCAGTTAACTTGGTTCCCGGCTCCACCGTATGTGTCTACACAGAGCATAATCTTGGAATCTCCTTCCTCTGCGGGTGTAAAAATGCATAATGGTGATGTCCTCCCTCTCTCTCAATCCTGCAGGTGTTCCCGGGCTGTGCCTTCTGCCATATGGCTAGTGGGAGAAGTGCCAGCTTCCTCCTACTTTATTGTTACCTTCACAACTGACTGTGATGTAGAGAGGGTTGCTGAACTAACTATTCTCAGCCAGCCAATACCTGGGATTACGTTTAGCCTGATCCTAAAGCTGCAAATTCATAGCCTGTCATTTTTGTGTGCCTGACCAGAGGAAACAATGTCTTCTATATGTAACATAACTCCAAATATTTAACTGTGCATCCTACTTTATTTTTAGGGGACTGTTTCTGCATATTTCATCCAGCGGTTTGGATTTCATTGTGATTGTCACGTAGTTGCATTCACTGGGGATAATCCAGGTGAGGATATGTGTAAAAAAAGCACCGCTCATTATGCCTAATTACTGACAGATCTCCATGGATACAATTCCCCTGTGGAAATGAGGAAGGGTGTAAAAATGCCATAAACCCCAAACATGTTTGGAGATATAAAGGTATAAATTATGGTGTACCCATGTATATATATTAGCTGACACATCAGTTAATTTTACACAGGTGGAGAATATCCATCATCTAGAAGAAACTTGAAAATGTAGGTCAAAATCACAAGTCTAATAGATCCTGGAAACTTTTCAAACATATTTGTATTCAGCCTGTGTTTTAGATTTATTGGTTTGTAGAAAAATTATTTTGGGTTCCAATTTAAAGTTGAACTCCAGGGAAACAGCTGAACACCCATTTCAAATACATATAAGGGAGATGCTGTACCTGCCAAAGGATTTGTATTTCTGCACACCCAGCCCTGAAATTTACATAGTTTTGCCATACAGCCAAGGCAGGTTGGTGAACTGAATTTTCTCTACTGCAGTTAAGCAAATAGTCTGGCCACATTGTTAACCCTGTTAACATTCAGCTTCTGAAAGAAACATGTTTTTGTATGTTTAGATGTCGAATAGCATAAGACTGTGCCAGAGGAGAGTTAGGAAGTTGGAGGGGAAGACAGATAGCTAGAGAATGTAGAAAAAGAAAAGACGATAGGGTAGCTAGCGATAAGTGGTACTACTTGTCCAAAAAAATTCTAATTGTCAGAAGAGCAGCCAGTTAGATAAAAAAAACCTCTGAGCGCTAAGAGGGTTGAAAATATCTATGATCAGTTGGTATTCCACTATGGATTCAACCAAAATAACCAGTTTTTTAAGGTTTTGGAGCAACTTTTGAAGGGTGCAGTAAGGTCCTTCATTAAAATCATGTCATTGATCTAGGCAAATCATTTTGGAATAGAGAGTGCTTCCACAGTGCTGGAATGTAGATATTTGATGCATTTAAAGCGGAACTATATCCTATTCATCCAAATTAAAATAAATATAAAATGGTAATGATGCATGTATTACTTTTAACTCCAGGGTTTGGTTTCCTTGAATAACTCAGCAAATGTTTATTTACCACTCTAATCCTTTAGCCATAAGGGCAGAGCATCCTCTCTCCCTTTATTTCCCAGAATTAGATGCCTGGAAGGCACTGGTGATGTAGCCATCCCAGGGGGCAGTTGTGAGGCCCTGGCTATGTCACCAGTTCCTCACTAAACCTGATTGGATTTCCAGTGTTGGTTCAAATTGTTGGAAAAAAGTTTATGAATAACTGCTAGTTGCTTTAAATGTTATAAAAGTAGAATCTTTTGAATGTTTACATTCTAACATTGTACTGGTTTTATGTAATAAAATCTAATAAAAAAAAGTTTAGATGAGTTTTAACAAAGTTAGGTTTTTATTTTTTACCCAGCATCCTTGGCAGGAATGAGACTTGAAGAAGGTGATATAGCAGTAAGTGTTTTAGCAGTTAATACTAGATTTGTAGAGTCTGTCTGTTACACTTCATAAATTCACTTATGCATTCCATACACCTAGCATTAAACTGTGCTAAACAGGTCCTGGAGCATAAGCCAGATAGGAATCGTAGATCAATATGTTTTTTTTCTTCCAATTGTTTATTCTCCTAATATCTTTTATCTTGATTTTATATGTATTTTTCATCTCCAGAGACATTTGCAATCCTCGAGAACTAAGTTGTTATATTGGAACAAACATTGTCCTGAGATTTCATGGCTTAGCACTGTTGTGATTAAGACTTTTATATTTAAAGCTGAAGTGTTTTGGATTCCACACATTATTTTGGTTAATTTAAAGCATATTAATTTTAAAGGGCAAGGTCGTGTTTGCAAAAAAAACCTAGAGGCAAAGCAATACCCCCCTTAAAGCCCCTTCACCCAATCCAGACTCAACTCCCAATTTAAGTGCTTTCTTAGTTCTTCAGCATGTTAACAGCCTTCTTTCTGGAATCTTCTCTGCCACTGCCTGCACCAGCATAGTTTACTCCATGTTGACTTGAATGGGGCCAGTAAAGTCAAAGTAACTTGAACTTGACACAGAATGGCTGCTGATGTCTGGCTTTCTGTCAAACTCTCTGAAGCAAGTGAAAGTCTTTTTTAAACAGCCATGTCTTAGCAGTCTGGATTCCTTAACATATCATCAGAAAGTCACACCTGACGGGTACGTCAGAAATCATTTTGTGGATCAACCTCTGGAAACTCCTCTCACACGTCGCCATCAGTTCTATACTGCCGTTCAGCCAGATTTCTCCCACCTGCAGCTTTTTTGGACCCCTTTTGACCTTATACTGCAATCCACAACTCTAGTGAAGCTGTTAGGATCCAGAGCGCCTCTAGGTGGCGCAGGAGCTGAGACCTGCAGCTCCAGTGCTCACCTGCAGGTGTTTCCCAGCTGCCAGTACTTAGCCATCACCTGGTGCTTCCTGGGAGGATATTTAAACCCTCCCTGCAGTCAGGGTGATGGCTCAGTATCGTTTCCTGTTTCCTGAAACTTGAACCCTGAGTCCCCAGTTCCGGTGAACCCTGCTTTACGTCCAGAGTCCTGTACCCTGTTTGTGTCCCGAGCCCGGTTACCCATTTGCAGTCCTAGATACCTCTTGTTGCCATTACCTGCCTTTCCTCCTGTTGCCATTACCTGCTTGTCCTCTTGTTTCCATTACCTGCCTTTCATCCTGTTGCCATTACCTGCTTGTCCTCCTGTTTCCATTACCTGCTTGTAGTCTGGTTGATGTTACTTATTTATGTTTGCTTTTGGGTGTTGTTTAGTTTTGCTGTTTATTAAACTGTATATGATACATTCTGCCCTGTCCGGTGTGGTCATAAGTGTTTGGTCTGCCTGTGTGGGTACCTGCGCAGGTGTGGGGTCACCTGTGTCGGTATCCCTGACAGAAGTAAATAAAAGATGGCCTCTGATGAAGTCTAAAAGACGAAATTGATCAAGTGTTCTGATGTTGGCAATTTTTTTATGTATTTAATGAATTAATTGCACTAGAAGCATTTTTCTTCACCATTCATTTGCTGCACTGGAGTTGTAGATTGCAATATAATGTCGAAAGAACTCCAGTACCGCCATAGTGAGTGGAATGTGGCTGAATGGTTATGTGAAACTGATGACAGGTTGTGACCAGAAAGTTGACCCACAAAACGATTTTGCACATACCGCAAGGAGGTAAGACAGTTCTGGTGAGTGTGGTTTCTGATAATATGTTAGGGAATCCTGATTCCTAAAGCATGACTGTTTAAAAAACTGTACTGTTCTTCCTCTAACAGTACAGGAATAGGTCTGATATATAAAGTGGACCTTGTAGTTTCCCTTTATGAGTGTGTATTCATTCTCTCTACAGTTCTGCTTAATAAAGGATTCATTTTTTTTTGCATTATAGTAGAGAAGATAAAGGTCACATCTCTTATAACACGCCTAACGATAATCTGTTAAAAGGAGGCATGTAAAATAATAGGCCTTTTACTCAGTAATGAATTTGTTATCTTATTGAAGATGGACGTATAGGTGACCTTGGTGCTGGAGCTGGCACAAAACTTTCCTCCTTCGGCCTCCGCACAACTTTGTTTAATGTTGTTTCTATAGCGCTTCCAATACCAGGTTTATTTTTATAGAATAAATAGGTTGATGTGCAGAGGTTATGTCTGATAGTTTTAATGAGGTTTATTGAGACTTTTTTACATGCAAATGTCATTTATTAAAGAAAAAATACCATAATGCTTTCTATTGTAATTAATTTACATGAGTATATTACATAAATAAGCCCTTGATAGTGCTGCCGTAGCTAAAAGAACTCCAAAGAAAATGAGAAAGTACTTACCCCCCTGTGGAAACCTCCACACAATGACAACAGTGCAAAAAAATGACGTTCTGCTGTGAAACTCAACAAAGCTTTGGTAAGACTAGAGAGATTTAGGCTCCTTTGTCCTTGTTTCAATGGATTTGAATGTTCAGTTTTCACTATCCTGACAGGTGTGTATGTGTGTCTGTGTATGAGGGGTAGAACCTAGTTTTCTGATATTAGTTCCAAAGAGGTAGATGGTCACGTATGGATTCATGATGCTTCTGTAGCTTTACATTTCTTCCTTTTTTACATCCCTCATATTTCAATAACTCTCACTATATCAGTATATTTGTCTTGGTCTAAGATACTTCCTATGGAAATAAGGTTGTGTAAAAGGCACTGGTGGGTTACTGTATATAATGGGAAGAACTAAGGCATGTGTCACACTAGCGATTCTGTCACTGAACGTCTTGCTAGTGATAGAACCGCAAAAACTCTCTGACAAACATGTACAAACCATGGTAAGAGAAGAATAGGGTTAGCTGGGTAAGGTTCAAGTGAAGAGGAAGAGACAAGGTGAGCAGAAGAAAGTGCATTGGGAGGGGTATGTGGGGCCTGACCAGTGCATTGAGTATCATGGTCCATTTGTTGGTTTTGTTTAGAGTAAAAGCAAAGGGCAGTCTAGGTTTAGGTGGGGATTATTGTCTAGCAAGGGAGACCATTTTTTTGTGAACAAAATAAAGTGGGTATTATTTAAACTTGCCATTTTTCTCTGTTTTACCTGCATACATTTTAGAGTTAGCTGCCTCAAGGCTTTAGCAATTATCTGCCAAGTACCAAGAAAGATGAAGGTTGCCAATTTATTTTTGTGTTTAGTAAGGTCAGTCTGTTAGATAAGGCGTCCCAAAGACTAAGAGATGGGTCTTGGTTTAAGATGGATCTGAGCAAATTTTATCCTGTATCAAGAATCTTTGTACCTTGGTTCACTGCCAACATATAGTATATGGCAGAGCATACCACAATCCATGCAAACCTGAAAGCATGGCAGTGAAGCACTGGGGGCAAATGTGGCTATCTGGTGAGGGGTCATATAGCAGCAGGTCAGTACTTTGTATGCATTTTTATGAGCTAGAATATTAGTTTGCTATCGCTGTCCCGATTTCTTTCCACTTAGGTATGTCCAAGGACTTACCTAGGTTGATTTCCAATCTAAGTATATATGGCAATTTCAGTCAACTCATCCTTTCCTATAGTGTTGCTCTCTTTTTAGCCCAACCAGCAAGATTCTGTTGTGTTCTTTGTCCAGCGAGAGAGTGACTTTATTAGGGAAAGTGGCAATTGCATTTTTAGTGATTGCTGGTGGTGCGGACCTACAGCTTTGATTTTGCTGCAAGGTTTATGCAGGAAAAATATACATTTATTTAAAAATGAGTTCTGCATGTTTTTAGCTACACCTAGATATGCAATCTGCTTCTGTACTCATCCGAACAAACAAGATTCTTATCCTACTACAGGTGAGCCTTGGCACAAGCGACACTCTTTTTCTTTGGATTCAAGAGCCTACGCCTGCTCTGGAGGGGCACATATTCTGCAACCCAGTACATTCTCAGGATTATATGGCTTTACTTTGGTGAGTACACACCACCTAAGCCCGTCAATTAAATATACCAAAGTAATATCATGCTTTCTGCAGGAAATAGCTGATTCTTCTGAAATTAATTCATGTGTTCCTCACTGTTGCTGTAAATTTTGCACCTCTGCTAAAGTAATTATTTTTCCATCAAGGGTTGTGTGTATATAGTTTGTGATTTTTAATAGAGTTTTTATGTGTAACCCCGATTCCAAAAGAGTTGGGACACTGTGTAAAATCAAAACAGAATGCAATGATTTGCAAATCTCATAAACCTATATTTTATTCACAATAGAAAATATATTAAATGTTCAAACTGAGGAAACGTACCATTAAAAAAGAAAAGAAAAAAAAAAGGTAATTTTGACATTGATGGCAGCAGCACTTCTCCAAAAAGTTGGGACAGGGCCATGTTTACCAGGGTGTATCATCCCCTCTTCTTTTAACAGCACTCTGTAAATGTCTGGGGACTGTGGAGACCAGTTGCTGGAGTTTTGGGAGAGGAATGTTGTCCCATTCTTGCCTGATATAGGATTTTAACTGCTTAACAGTCCTGGGTCTTCTTTGTCGTATTTTTCCTTTCAAAATGTGCCAAATATTTTTATTTGGTGAAAGGTCTGGACTGCAGGCAGGCCAGTTAAGCACCCAGACTCTTCTACTATGAAGCCATGCTGTTGTCATAGATGCAGTATGTGGTTTAGTATTGTCCAGCTAAAATATAAAAGGCCTTCCCTGAAAAAGACGTCGTCTGCATATGCTGCTCTAAAACCTGGCTATATCTTTCAGCATTGATAGTGCCTTTCCAGATGTGCAATTTGCCCATTCCATACACACTAATGCACCTCCATACCAACAGAGATGCAGCCTCTTGAACTGAGCACTGATAACAAGCCAGACAGTCCCTCTTCTCTTTAGTCCAGAGGGCGCAACTAGGGTTGCCACCTTTACTTCAAGCGAAACCCGAACACTCTAGAGACGCGCAGACATTTTTTGGGGAGAATTAGTCGTGGGTTATTCATATCTAAATAGCGCCACCCATTCATATGCAAATATTACAGGTGAGACTATTTCCAGTGGGGGGCCAGTAGCCCCTATCTTAATTTTGGTTGCCCCTGGTCTGCCTGACACCTTGTGTCCGGGTATCTGCTGCAATGAAACCCGAACAGAGCATTCAAAACCCGAACTGTCCGGGTGAATCCTGGACAGGTGGCAACCCTAGGCGCAACGCAGATGGTTGCCAAAAAGAAGGTCAAATTTCAATTCGTCTAACCACAGAACATTTTCCACTTTGCAGCAGGCCATTTTACATGAGCTTTGGCCCAGAGAAGACAGCGAAATTTCTGGATCATATTCAGATCTGGCTTCTTCTTTGCATGACAGAGATTTAACTTGCATTTTTGAATGGCACAGTGTACTGTGTACACAGACAGTGATTTTTGGAAGTATTCCTGAACCCATGCAGTGATGTCCATCACAGAATCATGCCTGTTTCTAATGCAGTGACATCCGAAGATCCCGTGCATCCAATATTGCGTTTCGGCCTTGTCCCTTGCGTACAGAGATTTCTCCAGATTCTCTGAATCTTTTGATGATATTATGTACTGTAGATGATATATTTAAAGTATTTGCAATTTTAAGTTAAGGAACGTTATTCTGAAATTGTTCAACAATTTTTAGACGTAGCTTTTCATAGATTGGTGAATCTCTGCCCATCTTTACTTCTAAAAACACTCTGACTCTCTAAGATGCTCGTTTTATAGAAAATCATGTTACTGACCTGTTGCCAATTAACCTAATTAGTTGGAAAATATTATTCCAGCTCTTACGTGTAAGTTCCACATACTTGTTGTGCTGTGCTGCAGCCCAGGAGATCCATTGGAGTGCCCACCACACTGTAACTACAGCAGGGTACATTACGCGATAGCATGCATTATTTGTACGGTACCATGCAATTAATGTGACGCATAGGTGTGAACACGTCCTGGTGGGAACAGAGGCCAGAAATAGCATAGGGATACATTGGGATGCATTTTGGGTCCGGTCTGGTCTGGAGGTAATCTGGATGTGGTATGAATGGGCCCTTATAGATGTCCCTGTACTCCTCAGCGCCATCTAGGGGTACTAGTGCCTTGTGAACAGCATCTGCCCAGCTATACGCATTTATAAGCCCTTATAGGTTAGCTGAAGAGGCATCAGAGATGCTTGCTTTAAGGATTTTCTTGGTCTGACTTAAACCCACAGCTCTCTGATTAGGGATGATTCCCAGCTCTGATGAATCAATGAGTTCTGTAAACAAGGAGCTTATAATCATGGCAAACAGTACCTACAATTATGAATCACACTCACATGTAAGTTTACGTTGGGCTGTCTGCATGAAAATGCAGCCTGCCCAGGAACACCCACTCCTCCAGACTGACAACCATCCATCAAGTAATTTTGCATAACTCTTCCCAAGAGCCAGCCCACTGCTTGCAATAAGTATGAGGGCTCTTGAGGAGTACTGAGGCAGGGTGATGTTTTTAGGAAGCTATGTACAGCACCCTGTTGGCTAATCCCACTAGCTATAATCAAGTCCCACCTCAACCTAACCACTGAACCATCACATTCTCAAACAATTCATCCCCACACAGCTACCTCCTCATGTATCATTTCCCCCTCCTCTTTCAGATTGTAAGCCCTCAGGGGCAGGGCCCTCCTTACCATCCTGTCTTGAATTGTATTGTAATGTCTTCCTTACATTGTAAAGCGCTGCGCAAACTGTTGGCGCTATATACATACTATGTAATAATAATAATAATAATCGGCCTTCATTACATAAAGAAGCACAGACACCCAGTGATGATGTCACTGGGTGTAAAATATGGTTTGTCATGAAAACAGAAAGGTTTTATTTAAAAATGTTTTAGTATGTTGGTGATGGGATAAAAGCAAAATATAATCAGATTAAACTTCAGCTTTAATTTCATGTATAAAATGCATACTCACTGGAACTAGAGTATAGTTTCCTTTTACAGCAGTGACAATTTCCCACCATATCTTGATGGTGTGTATTATGTGCTGTGTATTGGATAATAAGCAGATGCGTATCACTGTGTGGCAGCTATTAGTCTAATTAATAAACTATTGATTACTATGCAGAAACATCAATAAGGTTAGTTAACTGGAGATAAAAGCACTTGAAAAGCTGCGTATCCTTTCCTATATGTCTCAGTTTAGTTCTAATTATAATGATGAGGATAATGCTGATGTAACATTTCACAGCAGTTACTAAACTTTCTACTGTTTTTTTTTGCTTTAGATTTATTCAGCATATTTAATAAGGTAAAGGGCAATGTGTAAAGTGCAGCCATCTATAGCAATCAGGTACCAGTCACCTTGTTTTCTTTGCTATCAATCAGTGATGGGTAAAATCTTATTAGGTGCTATGAATATCCTCAATTTATACATCATTATTGCCCTTTACATTGACTGTATTTAAAGCTTATCTCCGGGCATGCAGCTAAATACCAAGTTGCCATATATATTTTAAAACTGTTTAACCTGCCAAAAGGTTTGTAATCTGTGCATTCAGTCTTGTGACATGACATTACAGACATTTTTAGTTAATATTTTTTAAGTTCATACATTTTTAAATAAATGTAAATAAAAATCTAAAGTGCAACTGAAGCCAACAGCATTTTTATGTTTGGATAGATTAGAGAGGGATTATAACCCCTTTCAGGTTTGTATTTTCTTTGTTCCCAGGAATAGACAGGAAATCTTCCAATGGGGACCGTAGTACTTTGGAAGGATTTCCTCTCACTTCCTGTTGTGGATATCAGACAGGAAGTGAAGGGAAATCTCCCCAAAGCACACGTGACAAAAAAAGCTGACAGGGGCTATACCTTGTCTAATAAACCCTTGGCTTACCAATATATTTAATGCAGGTTACACCCATGACGCAGAGCGTCAAGGGACCCTTCAGTTGAATGATTGAAGTGAGGCCCATTCTGTAGTTATGATGCTTGAAACATTTATTGAAGAACTTCTGGGAGAGAGGTAGAGGAGGGTTAGGATCATCCAGGCAGATGTTGACTCCAAGGCTTCTCAGAGAGAGTGGTTACAGCTTCCATGGCCAGCAGGCCAAGCACCTGACACTGCATTACTTGAGGTAAGAGTTACTGATCCTCGTCTTTAGCAGCAGCAACCATGGGACCTGCTGCCACCAGGCTCCAGGGTAATTCCAAGATTAGTTCCCAGGCTTTGAGACCTGGTCAGCTCAGGCAGTCCAGTGCAACCTCCCCACAGGCATAATAAGATTAACACTAAATTTAATAGCACCCTTTCCACCAGCGTGATACATAACCAATCAGATCCTGTCTTTGGTTTGTTCAGTTAAGCTTCAAAAATGAAAGATTGAAGCTGATTTGCTACTATGGGCAACTGCTTCAGATTCTGTCTGCTCAAATTTTGATAAATGTCCCCCAATGAGTTTTCTATTTAAAAAAGCACAAGCTTTTTACCTTCACACTCTCTCGTTAAAATTATTTATACACAGCAGGTGGAAGCACATATATATCTCAGTTGTGCATGGAAATTTTAGCTTGACCTTGATTGTGGCCTAAAATGAAAATACTAAATATTAATTATCAATATTTCATATTTAACCAAGTTTTAAAAAAAAAGGGAAAGCTATTTTTTTTTAATTTTTATTTTGACCATGTTAATGAAAGAATATATATGTGAAAACATTATACAGTATATTCCCTTTTAAAGCCTGCTCTAGTCTTGTGTTTCTAAAACAGTTTGCCTAGCACAGTGGTTATACTAGCAATTTAACCTCTGCAAGAATACCGAGTTTGTCCAAGGTAACATGTAGAGAACTTTGAATCTGTGAACTTTTTTGTGTCCTCAGTATGCCTTGAATCAAGAAATAAATGATGCAGTTTGAACTCTGGCAGTCTTTGAATTATTTGAACTGAATAAGCTGAATTTTCGACAGGCATGATGTAGTGGACAATGTGGGCGAAGGAACAAAATTTCCCAGAGTGTCCAATACAGGGCCGAAGGATGAGGAAAAAAGGTTAATTAGTTCTGTTTCATCAGTTCTTCATTTTAAAACAATGTCCTTCGTTGCAATTAGATCTGAATTCTCCTTAATAGAGTGTACATATTGTCACAGGAGAATATGCGTATTGCAGTACTCAGCAAAGCTTTATTTGGACTAGCAGTGCACATTCTACTTGAAGAAGTGGGTAGATGTCAAACTCTTCTCCCGTAAAATGCAGATAGCCCATAGAACAAAAATGTCAACGAGCACTGGACTACTCAGCGTCTTGTCTTTAAACTAGATTATATTTTATCTTCAACAAATACACAGAATGTGTGTTAGTATTTTATGTTTATCACAACCTCATTTTTTTAATGTACTTTTCCGATTCATGCTTGCTTGCTCTGTTCTTTTCCATTATCATACATTTACAATTTCGAAGATTTCTAGTAGCTCTATGTCATATTGTGCAGTTAGCATTCCTTTTGATTGATTGCTGCACTAAGATGAATTCCCTCCATCCGAAGATGAGCTCCCTCCATCTTCTACTTTTCTTCTAGAAAGTTAGTGATTGCCAGAGCTGTAGTCAGTCTGGCTGAATTATAGTTGGCATTGAGCTGGTTAATTCCAGGTGTTCTAGAATTGATTGTACCTGCCTGAGTGGGGTGTGACTCTGCTGCAATGTGGGGTAACCAATGGCAGGACACTATGGGTGTATGTGTAGTCCACCAGCCAATCAATGGGGCTCTCAAAGCCAGTGGTGCATGCTGGGATAGTGCATACATACTTGGGGGAATCGCCATGTGCTCAGTCCTGTTTTAGTGTAGTTCCAGTCTGGTTGGAGTTCCAACCTAAGCCTAAGCCTGAGGGTGGGATTGCTCAACTGTGGGAAATGCTTTGTTAGGCCTCAAGTCTGGAAGAGGGCTAACACTGGGGAGGAGAATCAGAAAAGCGGATGGCTGCTCGAGGTACCGGAAATGGAATGGACCTCAGGAGCAAGTCTGGTGTCTCTCCTACTAAAGATCTTATGCCTATCCCTCTTAAGCTGTTGCTCAAATACCCAGTGTCAGTATGTGCTCCTATTAATCCTGCACTGTGGAATACTAAAAGGGAATGGTGAGTCTGGAGTTTTGTTCTGTCTATTTTTGCTTTTGGATGTGCTAAGCCCTAAACCCTCTCTCCCAATTCAAGTGTTCCAATAAAAGTTCTTCAGCATCATACCTCTGGCCTGGATTTCAGCTCTATCAGAACAAGAAAAGGGCAATTAATGCTATTGGGGCTACAGGTTGCTAAAATTCCTTAGACAGGCTATGGAAGATCCGGGTTCTCAGCGGCTCCACAGGGGGTGAACGCTACACAAGCAAAATAGAAAAAATAAAATATTCAGTGCATTTAGGCAGCACAGTGGCTTAGTGGTTAGCACTTCTGCATTGCAGCACTGGGGTCACTGGTTTGACTCCTGGTCAGGACGCTATCTGCATGTGGAGTTTGCATGTTCTCCCTGTTCTTGCATGGGTTTTCTCCAAGTACTTCGGTTTCCTTCCACACAAACATGCTGTAAGGTTAATTGGCTTCTGTCCAAATCTTCCCTGTATGTATGCCTGAGAGATAAGGACCTTAATTTGTAAGCTCCTCAAGTACAGTGATGTGAATGTGCAGTATGTAAAACACTGTGTAAATTGTTGGTGCATAAAATACCTGCAATAATAATAATAATCCTTGCAAAACATGTACCATTTCCCATGTTTTATCTCCTTACACCTGCAGCAATGTACAGAAAAATACCCATTGATCTTGCCAGAAATCCAGTGTGTGCCTCTAACCTTCTGTAGTCAGCTGACAACACTGCCTCTGCTGCATTAAAAATCCCAAGCCATGTTGTCAGCCCTGCCTCTGCCTAAGATCACCCCTGATGGACTACAGAACACCTCCCTGTTTTTTTATAGAGATGAAAAAAGGTGGAGGTCTGAGGTTAAGCCACCCAGAAGTAGTAAAGGAATCATTCTGATTTTGAGAGGATCCATAGACTCGCTTTGAGATAAGAAGAGCACTAAAGAACTATGGTTGTGTTGCAGCACTACCAAACAGTAGTCATTGTGTGCATATGTGATAAACATTTATGTCTTTCCTCATGTACATTTATGATTTCTTGATAAAAATAAGTTTTTTAAAATATTAACAGGTATTGCTGAGATTATTTACAAGATTATCAATTCAAACATATGTTTTAAAAACTAAACTCTGAGCAATAAACTAAATAATTTTAGCTTTGGGTAAAGGATGATGAAGGCAGGCTGAGAGTATAGTTATACATAGAAATGAAATCATTGCATTGCATTGCTTAATTATAATATGGAATGTATTCTATTATTCCAACCACTATATAAAGATTCAATAGCCTTAGAAACATCTAGCAAATTAGTGACTTACTGCTTGTGCTGAAGCAGTCAGCTAAACACAGAGTTGAAATGCACACGTGAACTATTTTTCTTACTGAAACATTTCTAATAAGGTTCAGACTCTATTGTTGTGATCCACAGACCTTTACTGGACAGCAACACCTCATGGTACTTAAGGCCTCATCGACACAGGGCATGTAGCCCTGTACAGCATGAAGGGCTTGTTGTTAATGCGCCTGGAGGCTGGGTCAAAAACTCAAAAAATTACAAATCCTATGGCAGATAAAACAACTTTGAGTATATGGTTTTGTTTTACTGTGCATTTAGATGCTTGTCTGAATTTCAGCTTTAAGAGACATCATAATGACCTAAAAAGCTATTGTTCAGCACCAGCATGCCTCACTGTCATACGAACTCCTTCTGTTTTGCTAAGCATTTCCATTTAGCTTTTAGTTTGGGAAGAAATCTAAATCTGACAAAACCAATAAATATGATTTACAATAAACATTAATAAGACCATAAATCCAGCTAGAGATGAATTTAATCCTAAGGCGATCGTCCTGTTTTCAGTGGATCATCTGGCACGATCAAATCATTTGTGCATTACTCTCACCATATCTCAGTTACAGCTCCTGTGTTCATCGGTCTCCAGTGACAGGTACAGTTTTAGAAACCGGTTTGTTTTGGAGGCACAGGGAGGTCAGCATTCCATTACAAGCGACGAGACTCACGTGACAGGACGCTTTTATGCTGTCTTAATGGTCTTTCTTTGCTTCTTAGTTTTAAAAACGGCTCCCTCATGAGAGAGAAAATCAGAGACAAGTGTTCATCCGGCTCCTGGGAAGAGTTTGCTCAAGTGATGAGATCGACCCCCCCTGGAAACAATGGTTGTCTAGGTAGGTTGGGATAAAAATACAAGTGTATCCTGCTGAGGTCCAGGCAAGCTAGCAGAAATTTGAAACAATGTATAACTAGAACTGCAGTAAAAAGTAAAGGAGCTATTTGCAGAAAATGTCATAAAATTAAGAAACATGGGTGATAGACGTTTCTGAAAAAACATAATTTTTTATATTTTCTATCTCTTCTCTCTATTTATTTTCAGAATATCTATCTATCTATCTATCTATCTATCTATCTATCTATCTATCTATCTATCTATCTATCTATCTATTTATCTTGTTTCTTATTTTGGACAGAGTGGTGGGGCAGGACTGTACCTTTAATGGGTCCAGCCCGAGGCTGTTGCCTCAGGCAACATCTCTTTGGGTCACATGGTGGGGGGGTGGCAGGCAGAGCGGCATGGCACAAAGTTTCTGTAAATTCACCAGGAAAGTAAATGAGGGGACGTCTCTCTAATTGGGGACAGACAGCAAAAAACTGACAGATGTCTAGAGTTATTCTTTAAAGTAGAACTGTAGTCAAAACTTTTTTTATGTTAGCTTTGGATAGAGTAAATGCGGGTTATGGTCCCTGCCAGATTCTATTTGCCATCTGTGTCCCATTGGAGAGATTTCACTTCCTATCTGATAGCCACAACATGACACATAGAGAGTGTGGATTTCCCTAACAGGGACACAGACAGCATTAAAAACCTGACAGGCGTTCTAACTCCTCATCACTCTATCCCAAACTAAAAAAAATGTTTTGGCTTCAATTGTACTGTAAGTTTATCTCTTCCAAAAAATTTTAAGTCTACAGTTCCTCTTTAAAGCCCATTTTCGGGGCAAACAAAAAAAGTACCCTTGCAGTGGGGGCTACCCCCGCACTACAAGGGTTAGTGTTTGTTTTTGTCTATAGGCTGGCGTAAAGCAGATTTACTTACCTGATCCCGGCTCCGCCAGCGTTTCAGCACTGTCCTCCATCCCTCTCTGCTCCGGCTTGTGGAATATCCCGCAGTGTCCTCATGTCTAACGCTGGTCTTTGGAACCTGCATTAGCCATGCTGACGTCAGTGGTCCTCAGACCAGGGGAGAAGAGGCTGCAGTGACCGCTCTAGCTGCCCTGGAGGAGCCAGCGGGAGTGGGGATCAGGTAAGTAAGTCTGCTTTTCTTCAGCCCCTAGACAACGAGCTATTAAAGTGACATTAAATTCAGGAGTTAAATATTAAAAGTGCATTGAAGTCTCTAAACAATAATACAAATATAGCTTATGTGTATATCACTCAGCTGTAGGTCCCTAAATAATTTCTGAATTGGTGCTGACACTGTTCTTCCTTCTGGAGGGTGACTACTATTGTTCCCCATGTTTCCTGTGTGCGTTGTGAAGTAGCCACCGCTTCTTTACTGGAGTAGTCTGCCACAACTTCTTCAGTGTCCAATTACAAGCTCAAGGCAGGAAGGGGACCAGACTGCATTGCTCAACTGTTGAAGAGAAAAATATGGGTACCTAAACCTCCATTTGCTGTCTGGCAGGACTGCAGAAATCTCAGGCCTGGATAGGTAGGAGGAGAGAGCTGAAAGATGACTCATGAATCTGCTTCTACTCCTTCATTGTACTGAGTTCTATAGTGTTCTTTAGTGACGTAGGCGTCAGTGAATGGAACCAGAGTGCATGGCAGGGAACACAGAAGTCCAACATTTCCAGAAGTGGTGGATACTGAACAGTTTATCAAAGGTTGCAGTGCTTTAATAGAGAGAAGGTAGGAGACATAGGTCGTGGGAGATGTAAGTATAATGAAGCTGATTTATTAAAGGAGCTGAGAATTTATTAAAGGAGCTGAGAATTTTCACACAATAGGTTGTGTAAACATTCACTTCAGTTATCAAACCATGTTTAAAGCAAATTTATGTTTCCTTATTTCATTTGCACATGATTGCGTTTTCAAAGTCAGCAGGAATTTGCTTTCCACATAATTGGATAATTATTTATTGTGTAACTCGCAACCCCTTTAGTAAATCAGCCCGATTCACTCTTCTTTTGCAGGAATTTGCTTTTGAGATATTAAGATAGATAGATAGATAGATAGATAGATAGATAGATAGATAGATAGATAGATAGATAGATAGATAGATAGATAACCATTCATACAGTAAAAAGTGGTTAATGTTTGTAATTATTTTCTAATTGTTTTCTTAGGTTTTTATTTTGATGTTATGGAAATCACTCCACGAGCAGTTGGTATTCACAGGTTCAACAGTGAAAATCAGAAGGTAGGACAGACTGTAAAATAAAAGAACATTAAAGTGAACTAAAAATTTCTAATAGGCTTATGTATTGTAGTTAGCACCTCCTGGTTCCTGTATGCATATTTTATACATAATGGAATTTTCACCTCCAGGTGCTTGCCTTCTAGGAGAATTAATGCATGCAGCAGGCCTTGCTATGGTTTACAAGAGGGCTGCAAAACTGAAGACCTTTGAGTAGTAACAATGGGTATCCTGAGATTAGTGTTTTTTTACTCAAATCAAGTTTATTAAAGTTACCATGACATACAGGAGAACATCATCCGCATACAAACAGTGGCCTGTAAGATCATAGATATACCATCAAAGCCCATGGAGTACAACTACATCTATATAAAAAATATGCAGTAAAATTATCCCAAACTGTATATATCCCTTTTTGAGAACTATGAAAGGGCAGGCCACATTGACAAGGAACATTGAGACACAAGAGGTGGGTGGGTGACACAAACCAAGAAACACAGGACAATACAAGCAAAAGAGAAGAAGAGAAAAGTGTTTTTTTAAAGTGTTGCCTGCTTTAGAAAAATTCCTGTAACTATTGTGTGTAGTACCCAGGTACTACTTAATGATTATTGATTGGAAATATTACTTGTTACTACATTTTTTAGGTGTCAGAATTTACAAATGATGTGGAAATCCGAGCTCTTATCGAGGGACAGTTCATGGCTAAGAGGATCTATGCAGAGCGACTTGGGTATAAAATAAGTAAGTTGTTTTGATATACTTGCTGTTTAGCCACCTATCATTTATAAAGACACACCAGCAGCTTTTGTGTGAAGGAAACATATATCTAAAGCCAGCAAGACAAGTACAGAGCCTTTTAAGGCTTTCTTAAAAAAAGAGTGCTTATTATTAAGTGTGGGAACCCATAGCAGTCCATCAGAATTCACTCTCTTAAAGTTACACCAGAGTCCATTGTTACTGCATGTAAGCTGTAGCCCTCAATAAGCTACTTTTGTGTATCATTTGAAACCAATTGGTTGTCTGAAAGAAAATAAATGATCCAGTGGCTAGTGTCTAAAAGAATGTTACTTAACAATTCACTCATACCTAGAGGCATCAGTGGAGCATGAGGCATCTAATGACTTATACCTCATGTCCCTTCAAATCTATGCGTTAATTAATACACTCATTTTCCTGCGTTGAGGTATGTGATGCATTAAGGCAGCCCATTCACTTTTGTGAACACATATCCATGTGTTGGGGTGCACTACAGGATAGCTCATGAATGACAATGCACATATACCATGAGGTACTGCGTGTTGGTTAAGATGCTGGTTTAAATGCACGTTACAGCAAAGAAAAGGTGTAAAGAGCCATACATTTGCGCAGACTTCTGTAGACTAGCATTGAGAAAGAGCAACAGTAAAGCTCAATTACTGTGCAGCACTGTTAAGCAGGAAGTACAGCAAGTATATAGTATATAATGAGTATGTATGGCTAACACCAAATAACAAACATTTTTTTTTTACTTTAAAAGATATTGTATAAAAGAGTTGTATAAAAGATCATATTTAGATAATGATATTTGCCAGCATCCTCTGCCCCTTTTTTACATTTAGCTGCCAGCTGGGGTATCTCCCAGCTGACACCTGAATGGGGCTGGGATTGCATAAGTCATTGCTAGGACTCCGGCGGCCCGAGTATCCTAGCAAACAATGCATGGGAAGCTGTCAGATTCCTGACAGCCTACCAGTACACACATATTCCACTCTGAGCACTGGTACACCAGATCAGAGTTGGTCTTAATTCTACCAGTTTTCCAATTTGTAAACTGGAGCAAATTTTTTTTTTTTTCCTCTGTTGAAAATGTCGGTAAAGCTACCAGAACTAAACTTGGCACAGGAACCTTTAAAGGTCCATACCACCAGAAAAGTGTTGTTAAGACTTTATTAAATTTCCCCAATGTGTCTCTGTGTGGAGGTGGCCATCTTGGTAGAGGCTGAGATGCCCACATAATGACTAGTGTGAAAATACTGAGGAAGAAACAGAAGAGGTGCAGAAAGCACAACTTCGCAGAATGAATGAAACAGAAGCAAAAAGATGCTTGCATGGCAGGCAATCTGGTACAGATTTCTTTCCAGCAAGGAGAACAGTGAGCAGCACAGTAGTGACATCATCAAATACGTTTCTAAATCACATGAGACTAAAAGTCCCCATGCACACAGCAAAGAAAATACATGAGTCCAGGTGCATTTGGAGCCAATTTCTAAACGAAGCATGCAATGCATTGCTAAGGCTGAATGTGCACCTAGACCATTAGCAGCGTCTAGGTACATTCAGTCTAGCTGCGTTTACACAATGTTCTGCTTTGTTTGATTTAACCCCTTTGTGACTTGTGTGAGGGGGCAGGGAACAGGGGGGAGAGTGTAATATTTTATATGTGGGGGTGCATGGAACAGGGCAGAGAGTGTATTATTTTATATGTGGGGGCAGAGACCTTTATGGTAATATTGTTAAAGTTGTTAATATTTATTTTTGTAACTTTATTTTGCATAAAACATCTAACAGTGTGATTTATAAGATTATTTAAGAGGGTGTGTTTAGGGGTGGAGTTAAGGGCAGGGTAGGGGTTAGGTGGGCAACTGGTGGCGAGTAACTCTTAAAGCCTGACTAGTAGCTCAGGACTTTAAATTTTGACCCCTGCTGTACGTGATCAGTTATTTGAGGCTCTGTAATCCCCGGTAACTGCTGAGAATCAGTGGTTACCGTTCATTAATGAAAGAGTTAAGCTTTTTCAGACACCCGATCCCTTTCAGGAATCGGGTGTCTGACAGTGAGAGCTGAGCGGCATTTGCAGCTCTAGCCGTCACAGACAGCTGGTGTAGACCGGGAAATCCCAATGTATACCGGCTTTTTTCCCCTAAATTTTCAGCAATAGAAACATTTAGCTACATCTTTCTGTTGCTCAAAAAATGGTGCAGGCTTCTGATCATTGTTTGAACGATTAGAAAACCTTTAGTGACATCTGATCCCGAAATGCAGGATCAGTGTCACTAAGGTTATTGTTGGCTGTTTTTAAGTTTGAAGCAGCCTAATAATAACCACAAATTAGTTAATTAAATTATCAAGCAGCAATAGTTAGATTAATGACTGCTTGTTAGAATTAAATACATTATATAATAAAATATATAATAAAAATGTTAAAAAGTGTAAAAAAAATGTAAAAAATAAAATATATTTAAATATATTTTTTATACTATCATTAATATAAAAATTAACCCATTACAATGAAAATCTGCAGCTGAGCTGCAGATTTGTTTTTCACCCTAATGGGTTCATTTTTTTAAATTTAAACCCCTCATGACAGTGATGTTCAAAGTATGTGACACTTAGTAACAGTGACATTGTATGCCAGGTGACCACTTTTAGCTTTAGCTTTTAGAGAAAAAAGATTAAAATGTTAGGTTTTAGTTTTAGGCTGGGAAGTACAGAAACATTTCTAAAATCCTAGGAATGTGAGGTATTTCCAAATAAAAGACATATTAATGAATGTATTTAATGCATTTTTGTTTTAGCTGTGCTATTTTTCTAAAACAATACTACAAATCAACACTGGGGGAAAAGTGTTTTATTTTAAGTTTTTTCCTTTTTTAAAATATTTTATTTGTCCTAAGTGAGGCGTTAGGTACACATGTTTGATATAAATATATAGCCCTATCTGTCCTCTAAAAAACAATATATAATATGTGTGGGTGCACTTTGTAAGAAAGTATATTACTGCCGTGGAAGAATCACACAACAAAAATGTCAAAAGTGTGTCAGTCATTTACGAACAGAAACTAAAAACAAGCTCCGTCATGAAGGGGTTAATACAGCTAAACATGACTAAATGCAATCTAACCACAGGAACAAGTGATCTGGGAAGCATAAAAGTTATTTATACGTCCCATGGAGGCAGAGTCAGCAGTGCCATAGATTCATACTGTAGAAATGCAGCTATGAGGCTTAAGGAACAGGAAGTGCGCTGCTATTTTCCAAGAGGAATTCAAGACAAATCTTTCAGGGTGCTGCTTAAGCACAATTAACAATTCTAGACGTTGCATATAAGATAGCAAATCATTTTGAGTTTAGGTCCACTTTGAGTGTAATGATCCATTGTAGATTTCCTTCCTTCCTATGTGAAACTCCATCCTCACTATGTCATTATAACTGTTTTCTACTGTCAAGGTAACTTCTCTCCTGACAGCAGAGGGCAACCTACCCTTAGCAATATTTAGCAAAGTGTTACAGTTATGCTGAGCAGAATTGCTGGATGTGTGTAATGTAATGCACAATCTCATTACATAATTTGTAGCTCCGTGCTTTGAAAATCGCTTACATTTGTAGTGTCCTACTTATGTGTGAATAAAAGTGATGTTATTACAGGCACTTCAGATTTATTGCTAGCGAGGTATAAAGCAGAGTTTCTCAACCTGTGATACAAGTACCCCAAGAGTAATTTATTACAGGTTGAAAGGGTACTCCTGCCTTCAAATTAAATTGAGTATAACACTGTGAGCATTTAATAGATTCCTTAACGTACATAAAACAAATTGGATTAGCTATTTTAAATATTTTTAAAGTGTAGGGGATTACTTCAAAAGCATCCGTATATTTTTTTGACGACTTTGGGAACAACCAAGTACAAGGACCCCCTAAGTGTGTATACCCTTAGTGGGTCCTTGAATTCAAATGACAAACACAAAGGGAATTTGGTAAAGATTTTACATAACAGTATGGAATCAAGAAATATTATTGTAAAGAATTGGTGGCTCCCACTTGTCTATTCCTCTGTTCATCCAAAATTTGCTCTGATGTATTCCATGACTGGCCATAAATAATACATTGATAATAATAATACATTTCTTAGGTGAGTGCCTATGTCTTCTGCTGGCCTAAACTGGTTAATCTATCCTGTAAGTGTAAGTTTGACTTCACCAGGCCACAAAATTATAAGAATCCTCTGTGTATTGTGTTATTGCTGCAGCAAGGTTCTTTTGGCTCTTAGAGCATACCAGCCTGGGGGCAAACCTAGCTGATGTGTGCACCTTGACCTAGGTGTCCTTGTCTGCAGGCTGGACAAATCCCAGGAGCCAGGTAGGCAATGCTCCTTAAAAAATTACAACTGGCGATTAAAGGAGAACTATGAGGTGAGTGAAAATCACTCAGCCTCATAGTTTGAGCCGATGTGTGACAATGAAACTGTCATACATCGGCTCAATAGATCGGGAAGTGAGCGAACACATACCGTCACTCGCTCACTTCTCAATCATGTCCCTGCAGAGAGCCGTGACTGTCACTCACGGCTCCCTGCAGGGATTCCCCCCCTCCCCTGTTCGATCCTCCAGGCTGACTGGCGGAAAGGACGGGGGAGGGGGCTGATACAGCTGGTCTATTGTGGCACCTGTTAACTAGATTAAAAAAACAAAACAATTTCCCTAAATTTCTGCATGCCTTAAAGCTGAACTCCGGGATAAGTAAAAATTCTATATATACAATACCCATGTGTGTTCGTATTTGAAGCTTCATGTGCTTTGTGTATTTCTTCCAGATCTGTGTAGGTAACCCAGTGTGATGCATTGCCTCTGTACAGGATATTCCTGTAATAATGACTGGTCACTGCTGCTCTCTCTCTCCTAGTGCAGGTTGACTGGTCTGGTCTCCACCTCTTTCTTTTTAGTTTTCTGCAGGCAGCCAGCTCTGCTTTCTGCACAGGTTATGTA